ACTGTGTGGATAAATGTTGAACAAGGAATATATGACTTTGCCCCCACAGAACTTACCAGCTAAAGGCCCAAAGACCTAATTCAGCAATTCCAACATTTTAGGGTTGAGGTTGTGATGGAAACTTACTTTATTCACTTGCACTGGTTCTTATTTCTCCAAGAGGATTTATAGCAATAAAAACCCACATAATGAAGTTGTTAGATTATAAGTAAGAAACAGAAATCGAGACTAGGGAAAATATAAATAAGAATACAGAGTCCAAAACAGAAGAAAAAAATCTATAGTTATGCAAGTCGTAATGATCCACTTGGGCTGAACATCAAATTTGGCATTATCTGTCCTGGCAGCCATATTGAAAAGGGAAATATGGTTGGTTATAAAGTACTTTGCCAGGGCCCTCCCTGGTGGCGCAGTGGGTTAAAGCACTGCACTAAGAAGCTTAAACCACTCTGCATGAGTTCGATCCCCGCCTGCCCCGGAGGAGATCCACATGGCATGGCAGACCTCTCCTGAGCCACCCGCTGCTCCCCTCAGCAGTATACTTCGTCGATCTGCCTGTTCTGCTCCCCACTCTGTCCTTGGTGAATTCTCTCATCCTCCGCATCTCTGGCCTGTACTCCAGTTCTGTGTGAATAAATAAATAAATCTTTAAAAAAAAAAAAAAAGTACTTTGCCAGAGAGACAAAAAAAAAAAGAAAGAAAACACAAACAAAACAAAACAAAATACTGATTCCTCAGAAAAGGAAAAGTTTTCCTAACACTTGGCTCTTGAGGAAATACCTTCTGTGAAGTTTCATGTAATCTCCAACAGGATTTCTATATGAACGCAAACATTCATTACAAGACAGTGCCTCGAAAATTCTGCAATAAAAGGAAATAAATCTAAAAGCAATTTAATAAATTCATTTCTGTCAGGGGTTAGCAGTCAGAGGTAAGTTGACTTTGACCAAATATATGTCCATATGAATATGTGACTAGAAGTTGGAATACCTGGGAAATAGGATATTCCATATCTCACTGGCATCTTGATATGGATATACTTCCTATTTATCTGAGGTAGGATCTGGTAATTGTTTATACCGTGGGCAGTGAACATTTTCTATAAAGGAGGTAATAGAATGTTAGGCCATTCAGCTCTACAGTCGGAGCACAAAAGTAGCTATGGACAATACAGAAGTGCAGGGGCATGGCCATGTTCCAATAAAATGTGATTTATAAAACAGGAGATAGTTCAAATTTAGCCAGCAAATCACATGCCATCAACACTGGTTTAACCCAAAAGAAAAAAGAAAGCAAAATATACTGTTGCTATTCTTCTGTTGGAATTATGGAATGTTCAGAAACTTGGCAAGTCTTGCTTGATGGTGACTCTGGTCTTATAATTTAATGGACTGTATGCAGTAGTGCGTGCCAGAGACAACACGACACATGTTCAAACAAGTTATTTTTTTTAAAAAAGATTTATTTTATTTATTTATGCATATAAGAGCTGGGGTGTAGGCTGCAGGTAGGGGTCGGAGGTGAGAGGATTCACCCAAGACAGAGTGGGAAGCAGAACAGGTGGATTGACTGAAATACACTGCTGAGGGGAGAAGCGAGCGAGACAGGAGAGGTCTGCTGTAACAAGTGGGTCACCTCCCTGGCTGGGGACTGAACTCATGATACAGTGACTTGCAATAGCTTCATAGTGCTGTGCCTATGTAACCCCCTTGTGACACCAGGGAGGGCCCCTGGGTTGCAAATTCTTAAGTTCATTGGGAGAACACACAAATCCCAGTGCTATCCAATACAATTGTTCACACAAAGTGACATTAAATTTGGAGTTGTTGCAGCACAAACTAGTCTGGGTCTAAAATGTGTATTTCCCTGTGGAGAAGGAATATTGCATGGGGTTCTTCACCTGGAGCTCTCACAAAGTAACTTGGATTCTCTATTGCGATCTCATGATCAGTTCCTGAGGCAAAAGAGATGTTGGATTATTTCCAGTAGGCTGATGTATGCTATTCACTCCTTTGTCATCTTTTCAAGTACAAAATCTATTCCAGGCTACCAGATGTGGATTCTAACCAATCTTGTATGAGTACAGCTAAAATATAGCTACCCTCAGGAAAACACGCACACACACACACACACACGCACCATTTCACTGCTAAAAGGCTTCGTTATGAGTAGATAACACATGTTGAGAGTTTGTTATATCCTGAATTCTTAATGTCTTCCAATGGCCATAAACTAATCTGGAATGTTAATTGTGTAATAGTTGCTGCCTAAAAGGATTGAGTCTGAGAGATGATCACAGGGGGTGGCCCAAGTCACTTGCAATTTGCAGCAACAGGTGGTTTAGGACTTGAGGCTTAGCGATTGCTTTAACCAGTGTGTGGCCAGCCCTCAGTGCTGAGCAATGACCTATATTTGTGTATTCAAAAGAGTTTGTAAAAATATGGCTTTAAATGTAATCGTGGATCTGTTGGGGGCTTCACTGTCACTTTGAACATAATTTTGCTGCACGGTATTTTCTATATGGATAGTGAGGGATTGCTCCATTGACTATCTGGAGGTTTAGCACTCACTTCTCTAGCAGCACAAGGTAATTGAGAAAATACTTGCAGTTCATTGTAATACAATGACATGAACTAATCCAGGTTTAAGGAGAGCATATCTCCATATACCCAGGATGTCACCCAGCAGGTTCCCTAAAGGCTGCTCTGAAATGTTTGTCCCATGAATGAATCCTGCATAATATCATCCTGTTTGTATAGTTAGCACCATAGAGCAATAGGTTGCCAGGAGGGTAATAGCCCTTTTGGTTTCACAAATTGTGGCAGTATTGAACCACTTCAAAAGAGACTCTGACTTTTCTTTTCGAATTAGAACAGAATAGGTCTACAACATGTAAAAGGCAGAAAACCACTTAGAAGGAATCATAGTGCCACTGAAACATAACACCAGACATATCACCAAATAGCAGTGGAGGTAAGAGACAGGTAGTCAGGTTTATATAAAAAGTGTGATATATTTTTAATCATGGCTTAGTCTTATAAGTAAGTCTCAGGACATGAAATTTTTCTTTTCTTTTACTATCATCCTTATTATTTTTTCTGTTTAAAATTATGTTTGTTTAGTTAATACTGATTTACAACACTGTATTTTTTCCAGGGGGTTAGGTTCACACCTTTATCAATGTGTGTTCCCCCACTGCCGCTACCACCAAAGCACCAATAATCTTCTACCATAGTCCATTGAGCCCCCATCACCCTTTAACTCCCACAAACTCCTCTTTTGGTAGCCTCAATTCTGCTGTCAGATCTCTAGAATTGGTTTTGGTTTGTTTTGTCTGTCCCTTTGTTTGTTTTATATTCCACATAAATGAAATCATTCTTTATTTTCTTTTTCCTCAGATTTACTTTGCATAATACCCTTCAATTACATCCATGTTGTTGCAAATGCAGGATTTCATCATTTTTTATAGCTAAGTAGTATTGCACTATGTATATGTATCAGATCTTCTTAATCCATTCAGCTCTTAGGCATTTAGGTTGTTTTCATAACTTGGCTATTATAAATAGTTCTGCAATAAACAAAGGAGTGCATATATCCTCTTTTATTGGGAATTGTATTCTTCAGCGAGATATTTAGGAGTGGAAATGGTGGGTTGGATAGATCTAATTTTAAAATTTGAGAAACCTCCATATTGTTTTGCATGGGGGCTGGACCAGTCTCAAATCACACACTTTTTCCTCCTCATCTATACCAGACTTTGTTGTTTATGGTCTTTTTGATATGGCATATTCTTACATGTGAGTCAGTATCTCATTGTGGTTTTATTTGAAGATGAGCATTTTTTCATTTGTTTATTGGCCATCTATATGTACACTTTGGAGAAGAATCTATAGCTCTTTTGCCTATATCTTGGTTAGGTATTTGTTTTCTTTTTGTTAAGTTGTATGATTTATTGGTATGTTTTGAATACATATATCTTGTTGGAGATACGATGTACAAAATTTTTCTCTTCGTTAGGCTATCTATTTTGAGACCTGAGAAGTTTCCAGAACACATTTCTTAGGGAAAATATCTGATGTCTAAGTTGTCTGAGACTTCTACATTTTCAGAAGTCACAAATGACCAGACATAGTATTTTTTTCCCTCCTATTTCCTCTGGTCCCTGAAAATATGCTTGTTTATAACAATGGCTTTATCAGTTGTCTTAGGAAAACAAATTTCCTTTAACAACACTCACAATATGATCTGTTAGTCATATTTATAAAATTTCTCTGCCACTCATGAGAAAAGATATATAAAAAGTAGAGACTATCTGAGCCAACAACAATTTAATACTCAGCAGCACAGCTCTGCCGCCAACCCACCCTCGTGGCCAAGTCTTATAAGTGAGGAGGAAGGAGAGAGCCAAAAGAAAGAGGGTGTACACAGGCCCCCGAGAGCCCAGCTGAGATTCCCAGCCTGAGCACTTCACTGCAGGGTTTCCATTGCCACCAAAGGAATTTTGGTAGGAGGAAAGGAACAGTGAGAAGATGAACTTAAAACAAAACCTAACATCTCCTGGGAGTAGCCTTAACATGGCTAATTTTTCTTACTGCAGTAGATAAATTGCTTATCCCCCTCTTCATCCAGCAGGTGTGTAAGGGACAAACTTGGACACTAGGGACCCTAAGTAGCTTTCATCCTTATTTTCTCTACCTGTTTTTGATTCCTACATCATGGGATTAAGGGAATTTGAGCATCTGTTTGTAGTTTTGCTCCTAACCCTCCCATGATTTTAACCACAAGGCAATAGAAATAGAATTAAGAGGTAAATGAAAGATGCTTAAGAAGCTTCTATCAATAGCTTCACCTTGCTGTCCTACTGGCTGTCAAGTGAAGACTTTAAGTTGTCATGATCCCAAATGTCATATAGGAATACACTGATCCCCAAAGGAGGTATTGATACGTGTACCTGTGTGTTTATTTGTTCACTGATCTATTCTGGATGTTTTTGGTCCCAGGGCCTGAGGATCATTTTCTCAGATATGTCACGGCTCATCTTCCGGCTCAGTTCCTCCAGCGGCGTGCGAGCCACCATCAGACTGTATGCAGAGAGCTATGAGAGGGACCCCAGCGGTCACGACCAGGAGCCCCAGGTACCAAACCACAGCTGTACTCTGGTTCTGTGTGTGTCGTTGCTCCTGAAAAATTTAAGGCACACCTGTGAGGGTTAGGTGGGGGTGATTTTGCTTTCTGTATTATCTCCAACCAAAGAACAAACTTAGAAGAGCTCCAAACAAGTTTAATTCCTTTATTGGAGTATTTGAAACAACAAAAAATTGCTTTCTAGAATTTAGACTAGCACTTCCCAGATGACTTGCCTTTCTTGAATGTTTGTTAATTGGGGTGATACCTAAAAGAAACCCCTTGTATGGATAAGTTAAGGAAGTTACCACTTAGAATCAAACTGCCCAAGCTCTGCAGAGCCATGATTATGCTCATGTAAATTCTGAATTCTAATTTGAAAAGCTGTTGGTTTAACCATGGTTTTGAGGTGTCAATACAGACATTATTCTTGGATTCCTCTCTTAGATTGCACAAAATTCACCTTGAGAAGAGGGGCTGGCCTGAGTTTAATGCTAAGGGGACATGCCAACTATTTTTGGCAAAGCTCCATGATGTTTTCTACAACAGAACTAATTAAGAATTCCCTTAGAAAAATCATAAATATCACAGACATGAGCATCTCCATTCCCTATATTCATTAAAGCTCCAGACAGCACTGATTCATTCTGGGAGGGATCACAATAACTTAATGTTGGGCCAACCAGCCACACTGCTGGTCACCCTGCTGCCCCTTTGGTCTTTCCTTCAGTCTGGATTTTAAAGCAGAGTCCTTTATGAGATGATTCCTTGAGATGAAAGCATTGGTTCCATCTGCAGTGCTTCTTTTATGCAGAAATAGAGAGTCAAGGAAAATTCATTGCTTTTCATGCTAGAGTTGCTCAGCGTTTTCAGTTAGGATTTGTCCTAACTGTGTCCCAGATGGGATCAGATACCATTCTTTAATAGTAGTGTGTGCGTGTGTGTGTGTGTGTCTTTCATATTTTTCCAAGTCTAGGAATTTGATTAAAATGATGCCATAAACCCTTATACCAGAACTGTAATCAAAAGGTCTGTTCAGAGTAAATCATCCTAGATGAGGAAGGCTAGGGAAGCTGAGAGTTGTTCTTACAATCGCCTGGATGGAGAAAGAGCAGAACATAAAGTGCTTGGCCCTTCCCTGTCCAGTGACCACAGAGTATCCATGTTGGGTGGGCCATGCTCTACCAACATCATTTGTAAGTGCATGCGTTTTACCCAGGATAGTACTACATCGTGCAAGAATTGGAGGTTTCCCCTCTCTTTCTATATGAAATGCTTCTGTCCTATGCTGGGAAGCAAGATAAAAGCAAAGGCCTGAAGTTCCAGAGCTATGTACAAAGCAAGAAATGACATTCCTGGCCTCACCAAATCTGACTCACTGACTCAAGGCAGTTATTTTCCTCAACGTTCTCTTCCCTGTTTGCATGGAACGAATGCTTATGATCTTTACTTTTTTTTATTTACCAAATGGGATTGATAATTTTTATCTGTACTGGTGCATGATGCCCAGGCCATGAGACATGTGTGAAAGCAGTCCTACCCATGTATGAGTCTCTCTCAGATCTGGTCCACAAAAGCAGAGTAGCATCCTTATTTTTTTTTTTTTAGAGGTTTATTTTTGCATACAGAACTGGGGTACAGGCCAGAGGCTCAGGGGCGGTGAGAGGCTTCACCAGAGACAGAGTGGGGAACAGAACAGGCAGATCGACGAAGTACACTGCTGAGGGGAGCAGTGGGCGGGTCAGGAGAGGTCTGCCACGCCATGTGGTCACCTCCAGGGCAGGCGGGAATCGAACTCATGTGGAAGCGGCTTTAGATTCTCAGTGCTGTGCTTTAACCCGCTGCGCCACAAGGGAGGGCTGCATCCTTATTTTTTTGAGGCTTCCTTGAAGCTGAAAGCTCCCATGGGCCCACTTCTGGAGGGTTTGTTTAGTGTTATACTTCATTCTGTGGGTAAAGAAAATAAAGGTGCTTGTTTAAATCACCTTTGCTGTGTACTTTCCAGCCTGTTGGATTGAGGAGCTTGCTGTTTTGTATGGTTAGGGAAATCCTTCCCTGATACTCTTCTAATGACTGACATGACTTCCCTTGCCAATCATAAACAAGGGCTTACCTCAGACCTGGTTAGTTGAGTTGCAGAGTATTTAGCATATGAGTTTATAAAAGTTTTATATTAACATGGAACTCCTTATTGAAATATGATCATTGACTCACAAATATACACTCCTAATGCATGATACATTTAAGCCAAGATATAACTGAGAGTAAGATTTTAAAAGTTTTATATATATATAGATCCCTGAGAAAAGAGAAGAAGGTTCTCTCAGCACATCTTCATGTGGGCTTGTATGTTTGACCACTTGGGATCTCTTTAAAATACTGCTTTCCATCTTTTTCAAGATCTCTAGAGGGAAAAACCTTTGGGTAATTTTTAAAAGAGACCAAAGAAAAGGCACTCTCCTTAAAGTGTTAGTGTTATTCTTGATCCAGGCACAGCAGAAAAATACCAGCTTGTATTGCTTTCTCAGCTGCAGAGAGAGCGCATCTTCCACGATTTTAGCTTCTGAATGGCAATCCAGAAAACAGAGAACAAATATACATCCTCTCCCCACCCCCTATGCACTCGGAAACTAGTTTATGGGGCTCTCTAATTTGCTGAGATTCTATGAATGACCTTATCTGAATTTAGTAAGTATTTAAAAATATTTTACCCACCCTAAAGTAATATCGTTTACATTCTGGTAGATGGACTAGAAATTTCCCTGCTACTGGTTTGTCACCCATCATCTGACAGTTTTACTTTGCACATGGATAAATTCTTTTCCAGCCATTTTAAACATTTGTGAACCCAGCACGATTTAAATTCTCACCCTGTGTTGCGGCTTGGAAGTGTTCCTCACTGACCTAGTGATGTGACTGGGAAAACTTGGGATCCAATCTGTAGATACACAGCCTCTACTTCCACTTAGAGAGTTTCCATTTGGTTCTTTCTGTATTTTCACATCTGTACATGTTTCCACTTGGGCCCCTACATGTTATGCTATTTGTTTTAAGTTGATGTAAAATAATTTCTTACCTACATCAAGAACTATTTTTTAAAAATTCTATCCATATGTCCCTTGGAATTAGTGGTGAGGGGAGTAAGGAGATGGAGAAGACCCTAACAAGATGAGAAGGTGCTGGCCTCATCTTCTGTCTGTGTCCTTGATGAATCAGAAAGGAAAGCTTCCAAGAGCTGTTTCTGGTTTTTTAAATACAAGATTATTTTAATTTTATTGGCAATGTGTAGACCTTCATAAAGCCTTCAAACCAGCTGGTAACAATTTGGAAAAAAGGATGAACCAAAAGGATTGACATTCACAGGTAACCAGAAACAGTCCAATTGTTTCCATTTTCTTTCCCACCAAATTTAATAGCAGGGCTGCTAAATTAACCTTTTATTCCCTTCTTTTCTTGTGCCTTTAAGTCTGAGGGTGGAGTAACTAATGAACAATAAAAGATACAAAAGGAAAGGAAGAAGTTTTGTTAAGGACTGGATACTCACAGACCAGACTGACAATCGGTCTGTGGCTAATCACCAAGTGGTTCTCATACTTTAATCACAGAAAAACCACACCCCCTCCTACCCCAAACCTGGAGAGAGCCTGGCTTCCTTCATCCTTCCTTCTAGTTGAGGGAATTTTCATATTTCTGATAAGTTACACCTAGAATGCTTTCTTTCTCTTTCTGGCTTATCTCACTCAGCATGATCTTTTCCAGCTCCATCCAAGTTGCTGCAAAAGACATGTGTTTCTCTTTTTTGGTTGCTGAGTAATATTCCATTGCACCTAGAATGCTTTAAGGACTGATTAAACTCTAGGCATCTCACTCTATTGGATTCATCTGTCAAATCAAAGGCTGTCATTTTGTTCTACTCTTCTCATTATGACTTTATAATCCAAAAATATACAGAAGCACTTTATATTACATGGGGGGAATGTGTAATGTATCATCTCAGTAGAGTGAAAAATGAGACTAATAATAATTATGTTGGGACTGTCTCCAGTAAACCACGACTGGTTGGTTCCTCTAATTATACACCTTTACCCTTTCCTAGATGTGCACACTTCTTAAAGACAATTTCTTCAAGAACTGGCAATATAAACTTAGAGGTATAGAGGAAATATGCCAGGAGTGAAGAGTTCGATCAGTGGTTCTAAATAGGACTGCCCAGTTGAATCACTGGGAGGCTTGGTAAAAGTGCCACGCTGGGCCCCACACCCAGAGTGGCTGCCGTAATTGTTCTCAGGAATTCACCAATTTAAACATCTTGCCAGATGGTTCCATTGGACGAGTGCCTCTTGAACATTAATGTTTATATAATTCCCTGGGGGGGAGTCTTCTTAAACTGAAGATTTTGTTTGTTTAAGATCTTTGTATTCAGTAATTACAGGCTATGAGAAAAATGTGTTCCAATGATATGTTACAATACCCCATACCAGCTTTGATGTTCCTGATTATATATCTTTGTTATTTTTTAATTTTTTATTTACACACACACACACATTGGTCTTCATTTGTACATTTTTTTTTCATCTCAGTTGTAATCCCCATGGACTTCCCAGCACCACTTCACCCATATGCCATCACCATAGTCCCTTGTGTTCTTCTCATCCCAGTTTTGATCTTGTTCCTCTCTCCTCTCCTGCAAAATGTCTCTGTTTTATAGCTGTTAGTTGATGTCTTTTTTACTTTATTCAATATATAGATATATAAATTATATATATATATACACACACACACACACACACACACACATATACATATATATATTCCTGATCTCTTATGCTCCTGTTATGAGTAAAACCATCTGGCATGTTTCTTTTTCTTTCTGGCTTATTTCACTAAGTGTGATCCTTTCCAGTTCCATCCATGTTGCTGCAAATGGCATGAGTTTATCTTTTTTGATTGCTAAGTAATATTCTACTGTATATGTATATACCACATCTTCTTGATCCAGTCATCTATTTTT